GCTGTCATCCTGAAACTGACAGGATGACAGCAGCTCCGCTCTCCTCCCCGCCTGCCGCTCGATCATCGTGATCGAGCGGCTCTCTCCTCCGCCTCCCCACCCGCCGGCCATTTGTATTCGGATCCCCGCTGCCTCAGCCCATACAAGCGTGTGAGAGCAGGAGGGGATCCGGGCCTTCCCTGTCGCGGGCCCCATATCGACCGCATCGGTCGCTATGGCGGTAGTTCCGCCACTGACTCTAAGTGCTTATATAGCCCATAGGCTTGTCAACTTTGATTTGGCTACCATACATGCATACCGGAGTACTGGACATTTGCCATAGCTGTATCACATTTCTCGATTTTCTTACTTATTTGTATTGTTGAAAAATGTAATAATAAAGAATTTTCAATAAAAAAATTTAAAGAAATACTAAGCTGGGCAATGTACAGTATATTGATCTGGTTTCATTATTGAGAAAAAAAACCTGAGAGTTTAATACTACTTTAAGGATGTTGGGATCTGAGAGATTTGTATTGTTGGTAGGTATGCCCTTTGTTACTCATACATCTTACATTATAAGAGGAGAACAGTATATAAGAGTTTGTATTTTCACTTACTTCTCCAGGCCGAACACCAAGACAAAGCTTGTCCACAGAAGGAGTGTGTTTACCAGAATAAACCTGTATATGGCAGAGAGAACTGTAAGTTTGGTGCAGCGTATCAAAACATGACACATGCAATGTTTTCGCTAATGAACATTGGGGGGAATTTATCAAAACTGCAGCAGACATAATCTGGAGTCAGAATCAGAACCAATCAGCATCTCTCTTCAGTTTGCTTAGGAAAGATTTCAAAATGAGAGAGCGAAGTTGATTGGCTGTAGTGCAAATCTGCTACATTTTTGATAAATTCCCCCCCCCATTATTTTTTTTACATTTGTATTGTTTAGTTTCTTTATTGAAATAAAGACAAAATAGATGATTTCCTCAAAATAAAGGCTGTCAAAAAAATATTTAAGAAGAAGTAAATTTGATTTTACATGTATCTGACGTTTATGTTGGCTCTTTCATTTTTTGCATTTCTGTCTTTGTGGATAAATGATCAAAATATATACTGTATACCTATCCAAATACTTTTTAAAAGAGCATAAACATTTACTTTTGTCAGTTCTTTTAGTTTTAATATATCATTTTTTCCTCCCCCTTTCAAGACTCTGAGTCTCTCCTGTGCAACATCCTCATCTTCACCTTCAATTTTCTCTTTTGGAGGTTCAGCAAACCTATGGTAGAAAATAAAGAGAACGGCAACTATGAAAACGAACAGTATCCTTAACTGAAGATTTTATATCAATACCAGCAACCAGTGGCGTAACAATCGCCATAGCGACCCAGAGGGGCCCTGCCAGGGCATCCCTCTAATGCCGTGTGGCCCGCTATGGCATGTAAGGGTACTGGCTGTCACTGACACAGCTCAGCAGTGGCGTTTCTCCTCATAGCCGCTGCGGAGCTGTGTCAGTGACAGCCAGCAGCTACGGCAGAAGAGTCCAGCATTCGCAGTAAAGGAGGCGGGGCCTGCCTTGCAACCCCGCCTCCTCTTACATCACTGGCCAGCGACCTAAGAGCAGGTGGGGCCAGTGATGTAAGAGGAGGCAGGGCCCGTCGATGGAAGAGGAGGCGGGGCCCGGGGAAGGAAGAGAAGGCGGGGCTCCGGCGACCACGGAGGTGGACAGCGCTGACAGGTAAGAGGTGTGCAGCCCATCTGAGACCCTGCAGAGCCAACTATAGATAGTCTATGGTGGGCTCTGCAGGGTCACTCCCAGGTGGGCTCTGCAAGTGGCATAACTAGCAATCACGGGGCCCCATACAAAATTTTGCTATGGGGCCCTGTGATTTCTAGTTACGCCCCTGCCAGCAACACTCTAAAATCTCTGCTTACAGTGTATGTAAACCCTGCAAACAACTTCTTGATTTGCTCCCTTTTGATCTCTTTAATATACCATTGAAAACATTTGAATACACTGTATAATGTTCAATAAGTGCACAGAAATAACTGTTGATCATGTCAGAATTTCAGAGCTGTCTTATGTCCTGTGCACACATCCCGTTTTATCTCATAGTCCAATTATATATTTTGTTCTTATCTCGGACTACAGAAAAATGAGTATCTATGCTGTAGAGATGACGATAGCAAAACACATCTGGGCAGGGCTGACACAACGCAGCCCACAAACATGCAGCGTGTTGTCATCCCGCAACAGAACTTAGAAGTTGAGTGAATTTCTAGCGGATCAACTGGTATTTTTCTGTACTTGTCGGGTCAATAATTAGATCAATGAGAAAGTGCACATGTATTGCCTATGCATATGCCATTTGTACATTGTACTGGCAAATGTTTGGATAAAATATCAGCTAAATATGTCTCCAAACAGCATCCTTTAGTGTTGACCAGAAACAGCTGGTCTGCAGCGAAAATCCATGGAAACACATAGCCAGGTTATGCTGCTAGAAACAGGATTTATCTTTAAAAAAATGTAATACAACATATTGGCAAATTTCAAAGGCAGTAAAGAGCAGTACAAACACACAGGGCTGTATTTTTTAAAAATTCTCAGAGCCATTTGTCCTGTGAAACTGCATTGTACATTTGGTTTGTGCAAATGGAGCAAAAACAAATGTTATTAGTATATTTTCTTTCTAGGTCAAATATAATATCAGGAAATTACCACATTATGGCCACTAGATGGAGCTGAGGATTATAGAACATTTTTATTTCCTATATTATCCTCGGCTCCATCTAGTGCCCATATTGTGGTATTTTCCTGATCTACTCTAACCTCATGAATGAATAACATACGACCTAGATAGAAAATATACTAATAACGTTGGTTTTTGTCCCCATTTGCACAGATAGAATGTACATGCAGTTTCTCATGATGAATTGCTCTGCTATTTTTTATGTATACACCCCTTAGTATTTAGTGAAAGTGCATTTATACGTTAAGGTCCATTATCACCTTGTCTATGATAGAAAAGGTTACTGTTGTTCTCTGCCCTTTTGTGTTTTTCTTATAAAAAGTTATGATAAAAATGACCTTGATTTTTTATCCACATTTAATATCCATATTGATATTTTATCCACAATTATTAATTAGCACATTTCATTAATTTTCAATCAAGGGCATAACTAGAGATCACAGGGCCCCATAGCAAAATTTTGTATGGCACCCCTCTTCCCCCCCAAAAATGCCACTTAACAACACATTGCTACAGCCATGTGACACAGTGCCTGAGCTACACAATATATATTTTCATTTATGATATGATTACATGCAGTTAGAAAACAATCACTATCCTTGGACGCATTGATCGTGCATCCAGGGAGAATGATTGATTCCTAACTGCATGTAGTCATATCACATACCATTACATTCGGTGTGCAGGCATTTACATGCAGCTGTTGTTACCTGATCATTAACTTGAATGGGTGACAGCTGCCGCTTGTAAATGCCACATTAGGGATTCCTGCAGCAGGAAAATGCAAGTTCCTGATGCAGAAATCCCTAATCGCACCTAAACTTACAGGTATGAATGGGGTGAATACACAAACACACACACAGAAATACACCCCCCCCCCACAACACACACACATGCAGAATAATACACCCCCTCCTCCCCCGCAGATAATATAACAGAGCCCCATCACCTGCACAATCCCTGGTGATCCAGTGGTTGATTGGTAAGGTCCTTGCTTTCGGCCAGAGCTCAGAGCTGTCAAGCTTTGGCTGAAAGGAGGCACTGAAAGGCAGTGTCGTGTAGCTGCGGGCTGGAAGGTACCGGTTCGCAGGCCGATTTTGGCCCACAGGCTGGTATTTTGAGGCCCCTGCACTAGAGGCTGAGACTAGACTCAGCCTTTCTTCCTGCTACTGACAGGGCAGCTACGGCGGTAGTTCCCCCACTGTGTACAATTAATTATTATATTTCGAGTGTGCCTACCATGCAGTGAAAAAGAAACGTTTCTGAATGAGCAGATTAAAAGCGAAGTATACAAATCCTTCAATTGCCATTGCAAAGATGTTTTTCCCCAGAAAATCCCACTGGAATGGGTTTGTAGTATGCTCCTCACCTGCAAGACACAGAAAAGCAGTAAACAAGACACAACATTAGTTTTCTAATGTGTGACAATAGTAACCCGTAGCATCTGTGAGTGTTGTTTGGTTTCGGCCTGACATTTTTTAAAATTTCGGTTTCATTTCGGTTTTAAAATTATATATATATATACACACACACACATTATTTCTCATTGTATTCATACCTACTACCTAAAAGGTATCACTGGCTTTTACTCCACCGTGTATAAAAAAATATTTCCTCCTATGTAATTATCTTTATCTCAAATATTTTTAAACAGATAAACTGCTGTAACATATACAGTATATTTGTTAGTACAAGCAGATTTAAATTACCCTAACTGACTTTTCCTTTTACTTGCAAGCTAATTTCATAAACTTCTTAATAATCTAAAAATCCAGATACTGTACCTGCGGACATATGGAATAAAACAAGCCTGTTTCACACTCACCAAATCGAGCATACACATCGGTCACAGCTTGATTCATAGCCAAGTCAATAAGACCCCGACCTAGGCAGAAGTGTGGGAAGACTAATAGCAAGTCCTTCAGCCTCTCATTAAATTTTATCAGAGACTACAAGAAAGAAATTGAGAATAAATCTAAAGTGCACTTTGCCAGTAGATTAAAAAAAAAAACATCAAATGATTTAAAATAATATCGACCATACAGACTAATACAGTGCTGACAATTTTGTGTTGTTGCCTTTTATGCATGTGATCTGCAAAGTATGCCCAGAACCACTCAGGTTTTACTGCTTCAGCTTCACTATAGAGACTGTTGTTTTCTGTTGTGTGTCCCAGAGTAATACTAATCATGAACATTTCACTAAGTGCTGGATGTACCTGGTAGACTTCAGACAGCATTCAGTGCCCCGCTAACCTTTCATGAGTACTGTAGGCATCTCTACAACAACATTTAGATAGCCTAAAGTGTTCTCATGAGTAAGAGCCCATAGTCATCCTATTTCTCATGTTGACTAATAGACTTCAGAAATCTGAATAAGATGCAGATAGTCTTCATCAGGTTGCATCGTGAGAGGTAGTAGCCAGTGGCGTCACAAGGGGGTGCGGGTGCCACGATTGGAGGGGTGACACCAAAATGACTGACAGTCAATTTAGTGTCACCCACTATAAAAAGTCGGGCACTCAGTCATGGACCGAGAGCCCGAGAGTGTCAGGAGAGAGGAGGGGACCCGGCGGCATACCTCATCCTGCCGGGTGAACGTCCCCTCCTCTCTCTGCTGGCATCCATCATCAATATGGCATCACGGCGGGGTGACACCCGGCCTCGGGACGCCCCTGGTAGTAGCATCCATCTTTTTAAGTGGGCCTTGGCAACTAGAAGCTAACTTTGCTGTAAATCTATAATATTTTTTTTTATATGGGATAGAGTAAAAAAACCCTGTCTTTTATTTTCCTGTACCCTTTGGAAGATATTTATTCACTTCCCATCATGTAAACACAACAGAAAATTAGTGGAAATATATCTAAAGTGAATGATATACCCACCTAGACAGTTGTCACCAGAATAGGTGTTCCCATTACAAAAATGTTCCCTCTCCTTGTCTGTGGACAACTAAAATTTTAGAATTTTTGCCCACAGTGACAATGGTGGCCAGGACAAATAGAAAGAGTAAATCTCCCTAATGGGGACAAAATCAGCAATAAAAACCTCTCCACTCTATCCAAAGTAAAAACATTTTGGTTTTAGTTACACTCGAATGGTGGTAGTAACAGTCAAGGATAGTCATGGAAAATAAATGCTCATTAATTCTATCTGCATTGTGTTTTTAGCATATAGTTTGCAGCAGATTTTACTCACCCTGTTATTCTCAAAGAGATCAAGAATAAAAGTAATGGCACTACTGTTTATGCCAATAAAGAGGTTCAAGCAAGATAATGCAACGTAGGCCGTGCTTGGCACATTGAAGAAATATGATGCAGGATACATCATAGGAATTACAGACCATCTGCAAATAATCATTCACAGTTTTAAAGAGAGACAACATGCTGAGTACAGATTTATGGTTTGCACTATTGCACTTACTAAGCAAAAGCATTCTGTTCAACTGACAATGCAGCATTTTACAAACAGTCCATATCTACTACAAATATCCATTTATAAAGTGTATTAGAAAACATTATAATGGTTGACAGTGTGCCAATTTACTTTAGTGACAGGAAACAATACCGGCGCCTCCATGTGCAATATCGGCCAGTTGCAATGGTAACGAACACACTGAAGAGGCAGCTCCCACAGGTCAAAGGACCTTCAATCGGAGAGACAAAAAACAAAAAGGAGCGCCTCCATAGTGTAAAACAAATTTTAATGATAAAAACGCACAACTGTATTGTACTTAAAAAAAGTCGGTAGTAAAAAGGCATGTAGAAAACAATGGGATGTCAAATCATCTAGCAGCGGAAGTCTGAAAAGATGTGCAGCATCAGCGTCCACTGCCCCGGTGTGGTCTCGGTTTACAGGGTCCCTTACATGACTATCGGCCGAGGTCGAGGAGGCGGAGGCCTGGCCCTAGCAGCGAAGGGCCCCAGCATTGCCGCTCCAGCGGCTTTGAGACAAGCTAGGGCTCCATCAGCGACGCTGCTCGTCTGATGTTAGACTGGCCGGAAGTCACTTCTGGCCGGTCCGGCGGCAGACGCGGCCATGTGTGCAGGTAAGAGGAGCTAAGAAGGAAGGAAGGAAAGGAGGGAGGGATGCAGCCCTGACCAGCCCACCTGAGATCCCTTCAGAGCCCACCATAGACAGTCTCAGATGGGCTGTGCAGCATCTATGGTGGGCTCTGCAGGGTTACTCAGGTGGGTACGCCCCCTTCCTCAGAACCTTGTTCCCCAGAAACATGTAAACCGGGACCACACAGGGGCAGTGGGCACATCTTTTCAGACTTCCGCTTCTAAATGATTTAACATCCCATTGTTTTCCACATGCCTTTTTGTAAGTACAATACAGTTGTGTGTTTTTATCATAAAAATTAGTTTTACACTATGGAGGCGCTCCTTTTTGTTTTTTGTCTCTTAATTTATTTTAGTGTATAATGCATATTAAGCTGTGTGTCGTACTCTTCAGCATATAATGTTATATATGTATTTGAAAAAAAGGGTATGGTAGCAGGCAGTAACAGCTTTTTATGTCAATTAGTTTGTTTCTATTGTGATCATTTTTATTTCACATGGGTTACTTTATTTTAGCTATCCAATATCAAATGTCAGTTTGTGAACATGAAGAATACAAGAGATAGCAGGGTACAACAGCACTATCTAGAGGACATTTATAGACAAGCAATGATATCATTTATATTAGCTGTTTTCAAACAAGCTTAGATATATGTCCAATATTAATCAATAGGATTAAAGTAGGTCTAAGCTCAATCACTAACATCTCATATAAGCGTCAAAATGTTACACCCGCCCACTGAGTAGCAGAGCGGAACTGAGAGACAACTTTCTCTCTCAGGTCTGCTCCACTGCTCAGTGGGTTGGGTTTCAATAGCCAGTCTGCTATTAGCTATTTCAAATTAAAATAGCCAATAGCAGTCTGGCTATTGGCCTGGGTGCTTACATCCACCTGTTGCCTGCAGAAGCTAGCCGGCAGGGGAATGAGGTCGCACGGAGGGGGGATTGGGGGTTGTGCAACGGGAGCGGGGCTGGGGGTGCAAGTTGCTGGTCTTGCCTAGGGCGCAAAGTAGTCTAGCACTGGCTATATATATGTATAATTACTTACCCATAGAAAAACAGCAATGCTATGAGTGCTGGTAAGTTTGAGGCTGATGTATATGCTTTCTTTTCAAACCCAATGAATATTAACACCACCATAGCTACACTTACGGCGTAGTTTGCCTGAAGAGAGAGGAACGTTTTTCATTACTAAAATATGAACAATAAATATCACTTTATTATATAAATTAAAACTATAACTAATAACAAGGCAACTATAACCATATTTAAAATACTTCACAGTATTGCAGTGTATCAACTCAAAGCAGACATTGCATAGAAATGCAAAGACCTCTGATAAACGAGTCCCTCAGAGCCAAAAAATATCAGAAGCTAGTGGGTGTTTCAGCAAGCTAGTACGCTCTAATGGCTGTGTGATAGCAGCACCCTGTTTTGGTGCTGCAAGAGTTAAAGTAAAACTCAAGCCAAAACTTTTCTTTTTTAGTATTTGATAGAGTAAGGGAGGGTTATAACCCGTCAGCATTTTTGGCCATCTGTGTCCCATTGGGAAATCTCAATTTTTCTTCACTTCTTGTCCGATAGTCACAACAGGAAGTAAGAGGAAATCCCTCCAATATGAGGGCACTACCTGGTGGTCAGCAGGGTCATCAGAACTAGTGTCCCCATTGGAAGATTTCCCATCTACAGTATTTATTTTCTGATGACAACTCAAAATTTGGGATTTGCATTCACTTTCAGTAAAAACAATCACCAGGACAATTCGTGAGAGTGAATCCCCCTAACAAAGACAGACAGCAATAAAGATCTGACAGGTGTTCTAATCCCTCTCCACCCTATCCAAAGCTAAAAAGTTGGATTCAGTTGCACTTTAATTTTTGCTAACAAACTTGTTGAATACTTGTATTATAATAGTTAAAATGGAGTTGTATCTCATGTATCCAACATCATATTGTTGGAATATTCTCACTGAACCTATCCTTGTCCTTATCTGGTATTCATAAAGGAATGACTAATGATTGTATCTCTTTACCTTTAACCCTGCATCATACATGTCATCCATTATATTAACTGCAATAAAGCTTTGACTATGTGGAAGTGAAACTGATGATGGCTTTGTGAGTGTTTTGATTAATTATCTTTGGTATCACCAATGATTGAGAAAGGCATAATTGTTTAAGCTCACTATAGCTATTTTGAGCTATGATGGCTCTACATCTAGCACATGGGGATATTAGCATTATCTCTTAGGCTGACTCACTCCCAGAAGTTGTGTCATTTTGCTGCTTTGTATAACCATTGTACACACTTAAATAAAAGGTAAGTATTACTTTTGATTAAGCAACACTTGAGTTTTTGTGTGTTACCATTTAACTCTGACACTTGTGGTTTATCAAAGTCTCTAGTTATAGCTGGCCTGCCACTCAAAAGATTTGCACCTGTGTCTGTATCAGATTTCAGGATCCATGGTGATTGTGAACTCTGAAATTATAAAAGGAGTCCAGGCATATACCAACAAGCCATATGGTTTGCTTGATATCTGTAGAGATCGCTAGGGCCTCATGCATGTGATGATGGGACCTTTGTACTACTGCATCTTCCATCCTGGCAGTTCAATATTTAAGTAGATACCACCAACAAATGGCTGCAGGATATTTTTTTAACAGAGAATATTTAACGAATAGCAACACATACAACATTATAGGGTCTATTCATAAAATATTTCTTAGAGCACTGTGCAAACTGTTGGCGCTATATAAATCCTGAATTATAATAATAATAATATCTGTAAACATTCATTCTGTGTGGATATATGTCAAAACAAACATTCTTTTGTTGTTTCTTTACGAGACAATGTATTTTTGAATGTTATTTTTCATGTACTACTGCATTATGGCCACTAGATGGTGCTAAAAAGGATAGAAATCGATATTGATATGCTCCTTTAGCTCTATCTAGTGGCCATAATGCAGTAGTACATGAAAACATTTGAAAATATAGTACACTTGTAAAGAAAGATAAAACAAAATAATCCTTGTTTTGGCAAGAGTGAACACTCACAGATATTTGCAGGGTGAACAGTCCTGCAATTTCTTAATACATAGACAGCTATTGGTTGACGGTGGGCAGTATTTATGAACCCAGCACACAATAAGGCTGCAAATACTCTGTATCCAAATTCTGGACAATTCTTTTTGTAACAGAAGCAGATTCCAGAAATCTCCCTCCCTGTATTCTATCGATAAACCATATGTAGTTTTATTGAACAATAGCAAATACAATATTATCTACTGTATGCAATAGACAGTTGGCCGCAGATATGAACCCTGGCACACAAAAAGGCTACAAAGTCTATGCATTAATTTTCTTAATTTGTGAATGTGGACTTTTTTTTGCAACAGAATCAGTTTTTAGATATATTCCTTCCTGTATTCTATGGACAAACTGTATATTGAATGAACAAAGAAAGCATATACTACTCACAATGTCCCACATGAAGTTTGTGAACCAGTATACAGCTGGAGTAACTCCACTAACAAACTGAAGGTGCTTGGCATTAGACACCCTTTCTTGAATCAAATAGAGCACAAAACTTGCTGGGATGAACGACATAGCAAAAATCACACAAATGGCAACCACAACATCCACTGAGGTAGTCAGCCTGATAAAAAAAAAAAAAAAGAAATTAAATTAAAAGGCAGTCTCTTAAAACAAAAGCAATATAGAAAATTCAGTAACAAAGTGTATAATAAGCCATTGCAATTTATGCTTTACTGCTCTGACTTGCTAAAATAAACTCCTTATTGCTTGATGAGCATTTCAAAGATTTGCACATGATAACTACTCTCTGGGATCTATTTTTTTATTTTATTTAAATACTTATTTCCTGTGCCTCTCAGCTCCATCTATTACTTTAACCTGAAAAGAAAGTATACAAATACTGTATACTAAGAACATTCTTTTCTGCCTCTAAATGCACAGAACAAAACATTCACAGAGATCCGTAGTATGAATAGGTCTGCGAACTGTTTATAAATAGACACATTTGTCATACCTTACTGAATAAGCCCAAATATGTTTCATTTGTTAAGCAGAACAGAGAGTCCAGACACACACAGACCAGATACAGTAAAGACTCGCACACAGTGTCGGGGACACACAGATACACACAGTTACACACAGCCAGGAAAAGCACATAAACAAAGGGCAGACAGACACACACACAAATACATACAGTCAGGGCATTTTGTAAGAAGCACATCCTACAGGTGCGCAACTTCACATGCAGGTTTAAGGCATCCTTTAATAATGTTATTTAAAGGACCTGTGCATTTTTAATGTTGGCTTTTAAGCTGCCTCCCGCTAAACAGTATTTAAAAAAATTATTTTTGCATTGGTACATGTCCAGCCCAGCTCCCCATGCATTTTTCCCATGCATTTGCAAAATCATACAATTTGGCCTTAAAAAAGGGCAAAACAAACCACCCATAGAGTTTAATTAGGTTTGGGGACTACAGTAACGGTTCATGGACTTTTTCCAGTTTTGGGCAAACATTCAGTGAACTAAACTTTGCTCAGTTTGCTCATCACTAGTCAGCACACATCACACAATACATTAAAAGCATGCTACATGAAAAAGGTATCATGTCAAATGAAAGGGTTAATGATGTGGGATATGATGTGAATGATGGGTTTATGTGGGGCTTAAAGAATTTGGAGAAAGACAAGGTAATGCTGCGACTGCCGTACCCATACAGTATTCTTTGATGTGCTAACATCTCCATATTACTGGAGCTTATATCTTATAATTCACATAGCTATATTAAATTACTATCAGTGCATGAGCAAACATCCTCAATGTTTGTAAAATCCTTTTGACATCATGCGTGACTTTGGCACAGCCCTAATATTAAACTGCCACCAAACCCACCCCTCATGTTTCCAAAGACCTGCTTACATCATTCCTAACCCTGAAATAATAGAAAACATTATGTAAACGACATGAATACTGACATTTAAAAAAAAAAAAACCACAATATTCTGAGTTAGCTGTTCTAGGGAAGAGCACACTTTGCTAGCAAATTATAATAAAGTATATAGAGCTCAGGAAATTGTGGTGGACTGGTTTGCATCAGTCTGCACAGTGATCATTATTGTTTTATTAAGAAAAAGCAAATCTTTATGTTTAAGATAATTATAACGTTCACCTCTTCCCAAAAAAACATGAGCATGCTGTAAACGAAATGGCCCCCTAAGCTCCTGCTAGTTATTAGGCCCTGTACACATCTGCATATTTTAGGTGCATTGTACTGTATGTGTGTTTCCCATTTAAGAGTTTTACATGCATTTTACATGTTACCATTGAACTCTCTGTCAAGTGCGATTGCTGGAAAAGCACCAACGATGCAACAAGTAGGACTGAAACTATGCACCTAAAATATGCAAGTGGAAATGGGTCTTTAAAAAGCAATTCCAGGCAAGTGATCGGTGAGATTTTAATGCTATCTAGCAAACACTACCAATTTGCTAAATTCAGGACGTCCTATCTCTGCTTTTTGCATTCAAAGGTGGGAGTGAATGCCATTGGTGGTTTTACACTTTTATGCAAGGTTTTCACAAGGTTTTGTTTACACTTTTACACATAAGTTTCTGTATTTGCCAGACAATGAGTTTGCAGTGGGTGAGTTTGGGAATAGCTCTCCTGCACGGCAAGCAGGGATTCCCAGAACACCAGATTGCTATCCAAAACGACCTGGGATGCACTGAAGTTCTACAGCAAAGCCTTAATGGAAAATTTGTCAACTAAGCAAATTGACTCTGCTCCCTGTGGACTACTCGAAGTTTCCTTTCCAGTTTTGAATTAATGTTAGATCATTATTCTCACACTATGACAAAAACTAGTGACGCCATAATCACTGAAAAAACAGTTAGGCTAAAGCTGGCCATACACCTTACAATTATCTCCAGATTTTCTCTGGTCAGATAGAAAAAGTGCAACAGGTTCCTCCATCTACGCTAAACTGCGTGGATAGAGGAATCTCCCACTGGGCCAAGCTTCAGTATCTTGCTAGTCGGCCCCGCTGGCTCTCAAAACACTTGAAAAATGCACGCATTCAATCAGACTGTTCAGGTATTTTGGGAGCCAGCGGGGCAGACTAACAAGATACTGAAGCTTGGATCAGGTGGATATTACTCCATCCACACAGTTAAGTGTAGATGGAGGAATCTGTTCCACCTTTTCCATCTGACCACAGAAAATCTGCAGATAATTGTAAGGTGTATGGCCAGCTTTAGACTTCTACTAGCTATTTTAAACACTGCCTCATCATACATCATATGGTGGCTTTGTGCTTACACTGTGACCTCGGACAGCTGATCTTTGGTGAGGTTGAGAGGATGGTTAATGGTAGTTATTCCATACTCTTCAGGATCTTTATCTTCGCCCAGGTTGGCCCTAAGAATAGCATTGTTGGCAACATTGATGTAGATAACCACAGCATGCCAGCCCTTATTATTAAACCAGACCTAGGAAAAGAAAACCGTGTTATATTTATCAAAGTGATACCAGAAAGTTACAAAGGATGACATAAAATAACCATGGTGTGAAAACTCATGGGGGAATTTATCAAAACTGGAGCAGACAGAATCTGGATCAGTTGTCCATAGTAACCAATCAGCTTCCCTCTTCAGTTTGTTCAGTTAATCTTTGAAAATGAAAGAGAAGTTGCCATGGGTAACTGCTTTAGATTTTGTTAGCTCCAGTTTAGAAATTCCCCTCTCAGTGTTCTGGGAACTATGCATTTAAAACAATGAAATCTTAAAACATACCGTATTTTTCGCTCCATAAGACACACTTTTTTCCCCCCAAAAGGAGGGGGAAAAAGTGCCTGCGTCTTATGGAGCGAATCCCGACGCCCGAGACATGCAGTTTCGGGCGCCGGGCGAGTAGTAGGAGCCACTGCTCGTTTAATACGAGTGATCTAACGATATCACTCGTATTAAAGCCGAGCAGCGGCGATCGAGCTCAGCAGTAGGAGCCACTGCTCGTTTAATACGAGTGATCTAACGATATCACTCGTATTAAAGCCGAGCAGCGGCGGCGGCGATCAAGCTCAGCAGCAGGAGCCACTGCTCGTTTAATACGAGTGATCTAATGAGATCACTCGTATTAAAACCGAGCAGCGGCGACGATCGAGATAACCATAGAGCAGACGAAGAATAGACGTTCTTCGCCTGCTCTGTGTCATCACTGAGACCGTGGCGCTGTAATCACAGCGCCACCTGTCTCAGCGGTCACTAACTGCAGCTTCTGTCACAGCTTCTGTCATAGAAGCTGTGACAGAAGCTACAGTCTCGAGTGCTCCATAAGGCGCACCGGACCTCCCTGCGTCCTATGGTCCGGTGCGCCTTATGGACAGCAAAATACGGTAATCTCTGCTTTAGCAGTGTCTAAAGATACCATAGACATTAGATAGCCATCTCCTCATCTTGCTGATTTTGTCAGGACATGGCAATATTGATTTTTTTTACCACCTTCGGAACTTAGTAAAACTACGGAAGAGCCCTGGGGCCATGCTAAAAAAAATAAATGACACAAACTTCTGACTTTGAAAGACAGAATTCTGTGTTTAAAGGACAGAATTTTGAGATTAAAAGTCAGAATTCTGAGATTATAACACTGGTAGTAGCCTCTAAAGAGTGTTTTGATTGGTAAGATTATAGGACCAATGTGCAACAGTGTAATAACCACCCATGTGGCACACTGACTATCTATAGATAGACTGTGCATGAGCTTTGTAAAAGCGTTGTCTCCTTGGTATCTGTAAGTGCCCATATCAATAAAAATACAGTATAGTCAGACTGTGCAAAAGCTTTATAAAAGCTGTGTCTTCTTGTTATCTTTGAGTACATATTGGGGCTAAACAGTGTTCTCTATCTCCATTGCTGTATTGGCAGGGTAAACTTAAATTAAACTTGGGTAAAAACCTTATTTGTCTTTGCTATCATAGGGACACAAGTGTGTGTGTTTTTTATGAGACATCCAGGTCTATTTTTAGGACAATAACTGTAAGAAAGAGACTTCACAGAGCCCACCATTTGAACAGAACTCCTTCTGCTGGCTACAACTGGTAAACATTCATATGCAGGATTTAATTTCTACCTATCTATTGTGAGTACTTGATTGCATTCATTACATTCATTGCAATGGTTGCATTCATTATATTTATTGCAATGGTTGCATTCATTACATTCATTGCAATGGTTGCATGCATTACATTCATTGCAATGGTTGCATTCATTACATTTATTGCAATGGTTGCATTTATTACATTCATTGCAATGGTTACATTCATTGCAATGGTTACATTCATTACATTCATTGCAATGGTTGCATTCATTACATTCATTGCAATGGTTGCATGCATTACATTCATTGCAATGGTTGCATTCATTACATTCATTGCAATGGTTGCATTCATTACAATAGTTGCATTCATTACATTTATTGCAATGGTTGCATTCATTACATTCATTGCAATGGTTGCATGCATTACATTCATTGCAATGGTTGCATTCATCACATTCATTGCAATGGTTGCTTTTGACAAGTGCACTGCCTGCCAAATTTAACACGCTGTATATTTTTAGCCACACCGCCAGTCTATTAATCAGCTGACACATTAAAACCAATGCACTACCTGCATGGCTGATTCAATTTAAAGCAATAATATGATGATGGGAGAGCAAACATGGAAAGATGACATTAGAAAAGCATCAGTACAATAACAACTATGTACCTTGATATTGTTCTCTGTTTCCAGGTTTGTAAGGAAAGCCTGTAGGTCATGTGAAACGGACTTCGCAACAGGGCCCTATCAGATAAACAAAGATATAATATCAGAACAGTCTAACAATATTACCTAATCAAATTTCTTTTTTAATACTCACTCCTGAGACATTGGTCATATCACCCAGATGGCGGAAGAACTCGTCTATATTTTCTCCTTGTATGTCAAGAACAGGAAGCTTTCCGCCAACAGAAAAACCTCCATATCTACAAGTACAAGCGGTTAAAAAATAAAGCAAACTTTGAGTTCTCAGTTCAAAAGTGCTCAGATATATTTTACTAGGTCTACTATGTAATACATTTAGACATGCCTACAATATGTTTAAAGTGAACCGGTACTTTGCCTATTATAGACAATGTAACAGGTTTGCTATTCAAACTTACTAAGGATTTTTGGGCAGTCTGGCAGTAGAATGGAACCAAACGCGTAAAAATGAGGTGCTGGAGTCAAATTTTCGGTAAGTCCCCAAACACTGGAGGTCACCGCAGCCTCCTGTTGCAGAATGGATCACTGAAATTGCTCACTTACAACATTGGTTGTTTTTTGTTATCCTGTTACAATTGAATATTAATATGCCTTCTGTATAATGCACCTGTTTTTTTTCCTGGTATTGGCAATTACGGGTTCACTTTTGTGCCACTTTCCACAAGATAAAAAACACAGGCAATTTGAATCTACTTGAGGGGGTTACTTTTTGTGCTCATCTAATTCACAAATCATTGAAAGCAACATACTGCAAATGTTGTGAGCAAGTGGGCAACATGCTCAGTACCGTGAGATCAAAGTGTATGTATTGTCAAACATATATATTTTTTTAAAGTTTCAGATAGGGTGAAGAAGGATTAGAACACCTGTAAGATTTTTTTAGTCTATATCCTCACTGGGGAGATCGCTTTCTCCATGTGTTGTGTTGGTGACCACTGTCACCAGGACAGAAAGTAAAGGGAAAAATGTTATGGTTGTCACAAGAGTTGAGGGGAAATCTTCTAATGGGGACAGCTGTTCAAGTGACAGACTCCTCTGATTCTCTACAGATTTTCTCTCACTTCCTGTGAAAGTAAAAATGACTTGAGGGGTTTAACCCTTACGCTATCCAAAACAAAAAAAAGTTTTGGTTATACATACACTTTAAAGAGAACCTGTGAAGAAAGAAATATGAGATCTGCAATTGCTAACTTTTTATGTTATAGGCACAGGCTCTGGGCTTGCCATCTCTATGCTTGCTGCATTGCCTAGTCTGTTCTTGACATGGAATAATCTTGGCTTCACTACAAAGCGTCACTGGCCTAAAACATGTTTTAGAAGGGAAGCGGGGACATAGGACATCCCTGCCCCCTCACCATTATACAGTTTTGCCGCGCCAGGATCGGAGGTAAGAGGAGGGCTTAGACTAGAGAAATGTGACTGCAGAAAGATAGTGGAAATAACAGAGGGGATGAGAGAGATGGGGGAGAAAACAGGCATATCCCCTAAACCTACAGGGGTCATTTATAGGTTTAAGAGATATGTGTCTTCAATCTATAGAAAATAAAAATGTACCTGTCCCCATTTATTTAAGTGTAATTATTATCTAAAATGCTTTAACATACATCCTAATATTTAAGAAAATCTACTGCTATTTTTAAGAAGATCTCCAGAGTTGTTCTGACTTCTTAAACCTGTACTATAAATAACGGGGTATATGAGTGTATGCATGCATGAGTAAATGACTTTGCATTTTTGTATGTGTGTACATATGAGCGTATGTATACGTGCATATGTAAGATGGGGCCTCATGTTTAAGTTTCGCCTCACAAAGTCTAGAGCCACCTCTGGGAGTGAGGACCCAGCAAACAGAACACACACAGGAAACAACTGAAGACAGAAGAGGTAAGGGTAAATAAATCATTAAAATCATTATTATTTGTAGCCTAATGTTGTATAAAGTACTGTTGCAGAAATGGAGATTGGTACCCTCTATAGAGGACTACAAATCTCAGCAGTACTTTATACAGAAATGCTATTGTTTTATAAAGTATTGCTGGGATGTGTAGTTCTCTATAGCCTTTGCCATTCTGCATTGCTGTAAATATTAGGGATGCACCGATATATCGGCCGCCAAAACATATTGGCCGAAAATTGGACTTTTGGCTAAATGCCATATTTCTGCCGATACAGCGGCGCATCCCTGCTTTCTTTCCTCCCCGCTGGGCGCTGCTCTGTGTCCCAGCGGGGTGGAGAGAAAGTGTGACAGCCGGCCGAGCGTTGCGGGAGGAGAGCGCTGTGTTTGTGGGGGTTTTTTGGGGGGTGGGGGGCATTGTTCCTTGGTTCCGCCACTGTCTAGGTGAATGACTCTCTAGGAAGTGAAGACAAGATTGGGATTAGTAGGGTTGTGCCCTGCACTCCCTAATGTTGTGGATAGGCAAGTCAGAAATAACTGATTTCTATAATTCCGAATAGGAGGGAAATCCTGTCACTCCAATTCCGTAAAATAGGAAATATGCCAGACTAGCACACCTCAAGATAATGTTCATTTAATCATACAAAAGGAATAGCTGACAAAGATTGCTAGGTACATAGAGTAATAATGGCGTGACTAACGTTAATTGAAAAGCATACAGAAAGTGTGTACATACAGGTTTTAGTGGAAACAATGTACAATACAGAGCACAGAACAGATTAGCCACATAGACAGCTCTAGGCAAGATGTGTCTAATATGACATGTCAGGAGTACTAACCATATTGTGTGGTCTTCTTTTGTATTATTAAATGAGCATTTTCTAGTTTTTTTTTTCTAGAGATTTGTTAGTCTGAAATATTCACAATTTCAGACAGGATTAAGATGACAGCCTCATAGCATGCAAATTAACCCCCACACCCCACTAATGACAGCAACCATATTTCCATCCTCATAAGATCAGTTTTGTTTAATTGAAAAAAAGTAGATGATAAGAATGGCCACTAGAGGGCAGCACAGACCATAATGAACTAACATCAACTATACACATTTACTGCAAACTGTGTGATTGAAATAGTTTTTGTTTGTAGTATTTATTTTGCCTTGTTTATACTTCACTTACCTTTGTTCATTCACCCAGTACTTGCTCTTCAAGCTAAAAGATATTCAGAGAAAAATGTTGACACCAAAAAAATAAAAATAAATTATTATTACAAAGAATGAAACAATTATTTGCAAAACAATCTTGCACACTGGAAAGAGAAATAATGATGTGCAAAGAGCAAATATCAATAGCAACTAATAAGATGTCGGTTTATTGTGGTGTGAACAAAGATCAGATGAACTGTCTTTGAATACAGGGGTTCGCTATTGTTGCCCTCAGCTGTACACCTCATTAATGCTAAACTCCTGACATAAAAACATTCATTCAAATATACTCATCAATAGATACAATGGATATCGATCCACTTTTTGTGTCCCAGATTCCTTTACAAACCTAGGTATCACCTTGTACAAGTAGATTTGTCATCACACAACTAATGTAAGCTGGCACTCTGATGGGGACAAGTAATGTAAGGGGGCACTCTGATGGGGACAAGTAATGTAAGGGGGCACTCTGATGGGGACAAGTAATGTAAGCTGGCACTCTGATGGGGACAAGTAATGTAAGCTGGCACTCTGATGGGGACAAGTAATGTAAAGAGGGCACTCTGATGGGGACAAGTAATGTTAGGGGGCACTCTGATGGGGACAAGTAATGTTAGCGGGCACTCTGATGGGGACAAGTAATGCAAGGGGGCACTCTAATGGGCAGAGCTAATGTAAGGGGGCACTCTGATGGGGACAAGTAATGTAAGGGGGCACTCTGATGGGCACAGCTAATGTAAGCTAGCACTCTGAGGGGGCCAAGTAATGTAAGAGAGGCACTCTGATGGGCACAGCTAATGTAAGCTAGCACTCTGAGGGGGCCAAGTAATGTAAGAGAGGCACTCTGATGGGCACAGCTAATGTAAGCTAGCACTCTGATGGAGACAAGTAATGTATGGAGGCGCTCTGATGGGGGCAGCCAATGTAAGGGAGCACTCCAATGGGAAAAACTACTGTAAGGGGGCACTCTGGTGGGGATAAGTAATGTTAGGAGGCACTCTGGCGGCAAGCACTAATGTAAGGGAGCACTCTGATAGGGAGCACTAATGTAAGGAAGCACTTTGATGAGGACAACTAATGTAAGCTGGAACTCTGATGGGGACAACTAATGTAAGGGAGCACTCTAATGGGGAACACTAATATAAAGAAGCACTCTGGTGGGGACAACTAATGTAAGCTTGCACTTTGATGGAGGCAACCAATGTAAGGGAGAACTCTTATGGGGACAACCACTGTAAGGGGGAACTCTGATAGGGACAACTAATGTAAGGTGGCACTCTGATGGGAACAGCTAATTTAAGGGGGCACTTTGATGAGAAGCGCTAATATAGAGGGTATTGAGGGGACATGAGATTCAGATCTCTGCTCAAAGAAAACTTTACCCAACAGACTTTTAATTCAATTCCCCTGCTGTAGCTGATTCACTATAAAATGGTGAGGATTGGATGCTGGTTACAGTTACCCTTGTAGCCTTTGATGTAAAAAGTGTTCAATATCTCCAACAGTGATTTCCCAACTTGTGATCTGATTGTTTTTGTAAGGCAGCAACTACGCTTTTCTTTGTTGCTTTACTTCCTCATATAAATAAAACCCATAAATGATCAGATAATGTATACTTTACATGCCTTATTATTGTTTTCTTATTTTTCTTTTGTCACCTTAGATTCCAGTTATACGAGTATAAAAATTCATAATCAGCTTATCCAAGGCCAGATTTAACCAGGCATATTGCTGTTTGTACACATATGAGATAAAGTTGGTGAGGTAATGACTAGCCAATAGGTGTTTGCTAACAATCTGCCTGTCCCCAAGTGCTTTATGTGACAACAATCCCACTTGTGTAAATAATTAACTTCATACGCCTACACAAAAATGCTTCTGTGCCACAAAGTTGTCTGGCGTTGATATGAATCTGCTAGACAGCTTGATTGGACAATTTACTATATCCCAGAAAATCTGATTTCTTGCAAAGCAAAACAGATTTATACATCAAAATGACATAACACACGTCCAACACACCTGCTTCTTATCAGAGTGGGGTATGTTTTGAGGAGAAAATCTGTAATATTTCGCTCTGTGAGGTCCTGGAGAATCTCTGAGCTGGGCTGGATTCTCTGGCAAAAAAGAAATCACAATAAATAATCGTCAGTTAGAAATAACAGCCAAATTAGTCCTACACAGCATTCGCTAACTGATTTATGAACTGATGTACCTGACTACAAGAGAGCAGAAGACAGTCTACCATTAGTAACATAGAATAAAGTGCAGGATTCAGGAGTTCTTAAAAGATATTCAGGGGTGCATTTATAAACAATTCACAAAGCCATTCGTCCTACAAAACGCCATAAACATTTGTTCTGTGCGAATGGAGGCAAAAACAAATGTTCTTAATATATTTCCTTTTCAGGTCGAATGCATTATAAGTAAAATACCACATGATGGCCGCTAGATGGAGCTGAGAAGCAGAGGAAATATCGTACTTCTTTCCTATGCTCCTGTCAAGAAGCCAGAGCCAGAGTTCCAGCACAGACGTCTGCATATGCACATGTGCCTGGCTTGGTTCATAGACTCATGCCTGGCTGTGCACATCTGCACTTTCACATTCCATTTGCATGGACATGCGCACCCACGTATTGTAAATTCTGGTGCCCTATGGACTATTTAGGCTGTGATGCTGAGTGATCGTCAGCTTTTCTGTGCATCTGAGATCCTGTGTCCTCACTGATCATCTTATACTGACCTAGCTTGTTTGACCTTCCCTTCACTACTCTGTGTTCCTGTGACCTTGTCTTGTTCATCGACCACCGCTCTTGCCTGCCGCACTGCACTGCCCGCACGTTACCGACTCTGGCTGGTTTCTGACTTCGCTCCTGTTTGCCGCCTGGTACTGCTCTGCACAACCTAGCTTGCATTGACTACAGCTCTTTTGGAACTCTGCCCACTAGTGTTCCTCTCCTGTGCCTGCTTTTTGCCTAGGATTCATCAAAAGCGCAAAATAAAAAAAATTATAACAAAGGAAAATAAGTAAACCCCCCCCCGCCCCCCCACTCACTTACATGCAGGCGAACAAACATGTTGGGCATTGGCTGCCTGCACCACTATGAGGGGAATAATTCTAGGGCCATCATTTATGGTTCCCTCAAAGTTGATGGTCTGTAAAGGCTTTTCAAATGTTGCCTATGGACCATTTGGGGTATTGTAGTATGTTGCCATGTCGTGGGCACATGCAGTTTTGTGCCTTGACATATTTGGGGTCAATGTGGTGAAATGTGGTTTAGTGCGGTGGATAAGAATATATTATGGATCACTGTTATTGATGTAGTACATGTCATCTTTGGATACTCATATGTTTACCTGCGGTGGGGGGCGCCCTCCAGCACCCTCAGGACATTCTGGCAGCATTATCAGCTTATTCTTTGTACTACAAGTACAGGAAGGGGATGGATTATCTGGAGTCCACTCGTGAGACAACAGAATGTTGGTTACACTTGCTGACACAGTCGGGATGATCCATTCGCTAGAGATGTTTTTACAAGGAAATTTTTTACTGGGAAAGAAGAAGAAACACAAGGCAGTGGATCATTATGATGATGATGATGATGATGGTGCCTATAACCATGTCAATAAGACATGAGTAAGAGATTATTAGTATTATTTTTTATATGCAATGTATATGTTTATGATGCAATCTACCACGTTGCCAAAAAAGGTGATTTAGAAATTCTTTCTCATACATAATCTGAGGATAACACTGTTTCATCTTTATAGCCTTAAAGGAAAAGTATTGGGAGAATAAAATGTACTCTTCCCAATACTTAGAGCGGTCGCGTGACACTGCAGGTGTCACATGCCGGCTCTATAGATGGAGAGCTGAGTGATCATAACCTGCTGATTAATCAGCTCACGGTCTTCTCTCTGCAGAGAGCTGCTACTGTCAGTCACCGCTCCCCTCAGGGATTCCCACTCCCCTCTCTGTTCCCCCAGTGCTAATTGGAGGGACAGTCAGGGAAGAGGGTGGGCACAACTGGCTCTGGCTCTAGAGAGGCAGAGCCAGCTGTCAATCAGGCAGCGGTGTGCATCCCAACAATATAGTCAGGATCTTTCCCGGCTGCGGTGCAACTGTGCCCTGTCAGCAAATAGCGGGCAGTAGTCCGCTATATGCTGACTTTGGTTCACAGAAGTACATTAGTAAATTTGTGTATTTACAAAGAGAAATTAAAGTCACTTACGTCAGTGGCAGTTCTTTCATGCAGCGAGTTCCAAGCCCCGGACTGTTCAGGAAGGCATCTGTAATAGGTACCACTTGCTCACTGCCTGGTCGCTCATTGCTGTAATATATGTGATTGAAAAAAATATAATTTTCCTCCACAGACAACATCCAGGACATCTAGATGTACCTGATAAATAGCAGCAGAATAGGCATGAGGTGACTTATGTAAATGTAGTTGTTGCAGAGCACTATGAAATTGCTGAAATGACTCATCTGTAGCAGGGTACAGCACGTGTTATATAATGGGTGTCTTGGGAAGCTGCAATAAGTTTTAAACAATTCACTGCTTTTTCTGGCCCAATATGCTATTGGGAGCATGAATAACCATGTATTGTGCTTATACACCCTAACGTATTTGTAACGTAACTAACAGTAAAACAAGGAGTGTGACTTCTGTCATTTCTTTATAGACTAGTTACTCATAGGTTCATTCAAGGTCTGTGCACTTAATAGATGTTTCTTAATAGTGCAATCTGATGGCCTGGGTTAATTACTGGTTTCTTATGTCTCTTGGGAACCCCATTGTTGCGATCTCCCCACAATAGATTCAAGCTCTGTCCCCACCCACCTTCATGTTTTTA